GTTCCGTAGATTGTCTCTTCGAAACGTTTGCTATTGAAACAACCCTTATTACAAAATTATCGAAAATTGTTTTTGCTTAAAAATCAATGACTTTGTAATAAAAAAATATGATAATAATAAAACATTGTTATCGATGTTAAGTAAGCAATTGATGACTTAGTAAAATTTATTGATGAACTTAGTCAAAATTGCCAAATAAACTTAGAGAAGGGTCAAACAGCGCTTAAAACCGATTAAATAATACAAAGCTTTATAACTCAAGCATTGTTCTTATCAGATTTAGGACAACTCTTTATCTGTTACTCACGATCTTTAACAACATTTTGGCGCTACTGGTAAAATGAATCATTTCTCACGAAAAAGAAGAGACATCAATAATTTTATTTTAGAAAGCGTGTATTTTTTTCAAAAACTTATAAAAAATTAAGATGATAAGACCGTTGTTATTTTACGATAATTATTAATCAGTCGTAAGATCTATAATTTTACAAATAACTTGTAAACACCCACCAAGATTCGTGATGGTAAATTTTCTTTCACTAGTAACATTGATAAGATAATTAGTGTTATTAAAATTAGGGCGTGTATATTTCAATCAAACTGTTGCACGCAAAAATAACCATCATATTTAAAAATTCTTTAAACTGTTTGAGTCAACGTTCTACATATACGTATCGGTGGAACATAAAGAACCAAGCCAATCAAAAAATGCTCCATCGTGCGTGGAAACGTTAAACGCACGCCTGTATGGAACACCAACAGAGAAAGAACTTTGTGAATTATTAAAGTATGAAGCTTGCGATGGTTGGGGAGCTCTCCGCAAACATAACAATTCTTTTGTGTTATTTCACGTGTGATTTATGATGAAACGTTATGGTTCGCAATAAAATTAGTTAGGCTTTTGTTCCGTTTGGTATTGATTCAATCGTCTTTTTTTACTTATCTAAAAATTTTCGATGTTCTTTTCTCCATTTCATTAACTTGTATCAGATGGATTTGTGTTCCTAAATTCCTTTTCCGTTTATAAGCTTTTCCTTGTACCTACTTCTTTTCCTCATAGTGCAGCATGATAGCCTCTTTATTTTTTAATATCTTTATTTTGGTTAGCCACCACAATTATTTTATATCTGAAACAGGAAAATCCCAAAACAATAAGCAATGTGCACGACTGAAACGAAAAATACTTACAACGAGGGTAGGCGAAACAATTTGCTGTAATCGATTTGGAGGCGTTGGATTTCGTTTCAGATTGACGGAACCCATATCTGATATTAATATTTTTCGGAAAGGAAAAATACATTGTTTAGTTCAAGTAATAGTGTTTGGCGCGTGAATGCTCCGAATTGGTTCAGGTCCCTATCTTTACTGAGTCATATACTACAAGGCGATTGAAGCACACCCAGACCAGTTTTTTTTTCTCCACACATTACATACACAAATCTTTCGTGCAACTCCGATGGAAAAGATTTCCTTAAGCATTCGCACTGCAACAGTTCCTCATTGCGCATTTGATTTCTCGTGTTGTCTATAAACGGCCAAGTCAAGGCAGCCCATTAATCAACAAACAAATCTGAAATTAAACTCCCGCGTTTACGGTACAACATTCACAATAAATCATAGCCGTCTTGGCCGGCCGTTGACATATGAAAATAACATATTCCTCTCAACCTCTGATCGATGGCTGCTCCTATCACTCATAGCTGACCGTTATTGATGACACGTTCGCATATTTAGGGGACTGTTATGCCAATGCTGGGCTGAATGACTTCAGCAATTTTCCATTCTGTGAGTTTTGCAATATGAGAAAGTGTCTTTAAATGATGATCTTTATGTGATGTCACATTAAGCATTTATGTTTGGTCTTTGTCCAAATATGCACTTTTATTTGGACAAAGACCAAACATAAATGTACTCATTTTTATATAACATAATTTATTATTAGAAAAATGAAGGCCAGATACTTCAAAAGCTGGTCGTGGTTGGCGGAGTCGAGAGCAAAAAGGCCCAAGGTAAAGTAACTAGATGGTCTGATCAAGTGAAAGCAGCAACTTCCTCAAGCAAATTTCATCAGGCAATTAGAGCAGCCACGGAGACAAATCGTAAAAACTGTCAATATCAATTAGTATTTACGATCCTTAGTAATGCGGAAGCGATTAGATAGAAGGATTAGATCACATCTCGTGTGCATATAATATAAATTTAGTATATGAATCCGTAGAAAAAGCCCTCAATTTATTTATAACTTAAATGCCAAGCTAATCAACAAAAACAAGCGATGCGGTCAGTAAGGAAAGGTCCGCTAAAAAATGACTTTCCTTCCTTGGCCTCAGAAAATGAAAAAAATATTAATGTTAGCCTCCTTTGCCTGTTGCCCTGTCTGAAAAATAGCTCTCCATGTCAATGCGTCCATTTATAAACGACAAAAAAGTTTTCTGCTGACAAAGAAAGTTATAAGCCTCGCATCAGTATTTCATAATTTTAATTGTCAGCATTTGGATTCTTTCTTTTTTTCTATTGAAGGTTTTATGCATGTCAAGACTTGTGTAGTATTACTAGTAGTACTATACAGATTGAAGCTTGTTGGAACATGGTTGGAACTAATAGCGGATCATTTGTCTAACTCTTAATGAACGAGACATAACACACCTACCGTACTGTCGGTCCCTCAACGTCAGCTCAATCAATCTCGTTCGTCTCTGCGAGTTTCTATTTGGTCCCTAATTGTTTGTCCGTGTCAACTGTGTTTCTGTGTTTTTTTTATTTTTTTTCTCCCACTCCTTCATCCAGTTGCGCTGGCTGGGCTTTCACGGCTATCCAATGAATGCTATTCAATTTCGATTTCTGAAAAGGAATGTTTTGTCGACTCAGGGAAAAGGCATTCCTTTTATGTAACAATGACTGCACCTTTTTTCAATTTGTAGAACAATTTTCGCCAAGAAATACTTCATAAATTTTTATAATGCCAGGATTTTATATATGAAATATGAGTATTTTGTATCCCAATAACAATACGAGCGCTTCAGTTGCTTAGTATAAAAAGAAACGCTGACAGCGCAATGGCAACAATTGAACGTTTTTCGCGGGGAAATATTCATTGCAAAATCTTATGAAAGAATACAAAGTCTTACAGGTAAATCCTAAAAGACGCCATCTGCCGACAAATTGATAAATCGCGAGACACAAAAGCCATTTGAATGAAGGGGAAATAAATTGAATTAGGCGTAGACCCGAAACTTATTTTACCCCTCCCGATCGAAATCCGAGGTGGAAGGGACAGGAATGACCCAGGAATGTTCGGGGTAGGGGGGCGGCGACGGAGGGCGGAATCCAGGATAAATGAAATTCTATATTAATGCAATATCTCAGGTATAGTACGCTAATGGAATTCTGTAATATATTGGTGATCCTATTGATTGTTATTAGGTCTACTGGCTTTTTTTCTCGTAATATTATAGTGCTACGTATTCTTTTACTGTAATATTTTTTTTGAAGCTCGTTAACCGTCCCGTCTTTTGATTTAATGTTCGAATTATAGAATCAGCAGACGCAGTTCACCCATTAAATAACTTTATAAACATTGTTATAGTCACAATATCTATTGAAAATTATGTACATTAACAAGTACTTTAGGTACGTAACTATGAATCAAGAAATATATATAGCTATAGAATACTTGCTAGTAGTATTCGATTATGTATATCCAAAACATTTGTATGTTATATATGTTTAGAATACCCTATGCAATCATCATAGTCTGCGAGATATTGCTTATAAAATATCATATACAAAAAACTAAGCAATAGGGGTAGGGCATCGCTTGAATTAGAGCGTCCGTCTGAGGAAGCAACTTCCACCTTACAGAGGACGACAGTAAAATAGCAGTATATTTTGGTGGTGTTGGGTTTCTACTCGTGAGTCCGTGGGTTAGGGGATAAGGTTCAGGCCCGCAATGTGAAGACAGCTGGAGCGACACACTATCTGCCGCATCGTCTCTATTAGCGACTGGACTCCACCTACGCTTAGGCGGTTTACCCACTGCAACGCAATTTGACGTGATCGCAATTTTAACATGATATAAAAGTTTGATAAGTCTCAGTTGGTATAGAAGTCACTTTCCGGCTCCAACTGCCATCAGTTCTGCGGCTAATGTGACCAGCCCACTGCCACTTCTGTTTGCTAATTCGGTGGGCTATGTCGGTGACTTTGGTTCTCTGTCGGATTACATCATTTCTGATGCGGTCCTTAGGGATACTCCAAGCATAGCCTTTTCCATAGCTCTCTGAGCGACTTTAAACTTAAACTTTTTTTTTTAAGTTCTTGAGTGGAGACCACGACTCGGTAAACGTAGTGTAGGACACCCTGAGACAAGATGGGATGATGATATTCGTAGGCTGGCTGGAGTGGGCTGGATGAGAGTAGCACAAAATCGGGAGCAGTGGCGTGCATTAGGGGAGACCTATGTCCAGCAGTGGACGAACATGGGTTCCTGATGATGATGATATTAGAAATCACGCGACCTACCACACACTGACGCGCGTGGCGTGGCGTCACGCGCGCAGATTCTGTCGATCGGCGCGGAGGCGGGGCGTTTCGCGGGGTACAACACACTGAGCGCCGCAGTTGCGCGCGCGTTATTAATTCGTTTTTAATCACGCGCGTGGGTCGCTTTGCTAGTGGAAGAATCGCTTTAAGTTTAGGTGGAGATGGGTAATTTTCTGCGCCTCGAATAAAAAAAACTAAAAACTAATGACTATTCTACGGTTGTGAACTTGGCTCAAGTCAAGTCATAAAAAGATGGTTAAACCAAGCCAATTTTAACGTGAACTGTACTGTACCTACCCAACCCGCATTGCGCGAATGCGCATAATGGAGAAAAAATACGACCGGAATTCTTCAAATTAAACCCAACCTGTGCCAACTAGCCAGTATTGTAAAGAAATGGTTTTTTGCAACGATGCATCTACATTCTCATCGAAATTGGTTTGATTGCAGAATTTAAAATGGGAAAGAGAGCTGAAGTTATTTTGGTAAAACTAACAAGTTTCAAACTAAACAAAAGTAATTTCATTCATTTAGTGTTTTCAAGGCCTTTTTCTAGGACTTTTGATTCTCGAATGGCCTGTAATAAAGAAAACATAATCCAATCTCTGCATATGTCTTGTTATGTTGCTTTCCTTTTTTTCGTGATCGTAAATGATCACGAAAATAATATATCGTTGGTGATAAATACAAGTAGTAATCCTACTTTCTAATTATGCTATATTTTTTTAATATTCTATTTTTCATTTTTCCTCGTTACCAAAGTTATTATCACTGTGTATAACTGAGCTCATAAATTCCGACAGAAGAACCCACGAGACTAATGATCTATATTTTTCTTTTACAGGGCGAAAAAGACAGCGGCAAGAACTGCATTCTTTCCTGCGAGAAAAGGAAAGCTGATGACACCGACTTGAATAAGGACCTTAAAAAGGTACGTTCCATTTTTAAATATTAGCAGATGATAAAAGGACAAGACTATACAGTATTAAAAATATTGAAATAGATAAGACACAAAATGTGCATGTTCCGTCCACGAAGTAAATTGAAACCAAGTCCGTTATATTTTGCACTTTTAAATGATTAGAGTCTGTACGGAAAGAGAATGGGATTTAGATTGGAAGGCGCTGTAGTGCTTTTCTATCGTATTTGTAAGGTTTAGCCCCTTTTAGACATGATTAAATACAAAAAACCGCAAGAAATCACAATAACAAACAAATCTGTATCAATACAGGGTTTGATTGCCAAATAAAAATCATGTTAGCTCAATGTTAGTTCCGTTTTCGCCACGCCCGTTCCGCACAGACTTACCACATTACAGCACTTTATTACCGGCCTACCAAAGTTTCTGCCTACCAAAGTACTGGGTTTTTGAGGTCGTCTATATTGAACAAAGAATTCTCTAATTTTAAGTAGAATTCTGGTCAACTCACTCGCGATATATTTTTAATCATACAGGTTTTCATGTAAAATATTATTTAAATATTATTACTATTCATCTATTAAACAGATGGGTGAGAGTCCTTCCTGATTCGGTTCTTAGACCAATATATAGAAATAAATCCAACCATTATCGAACCCGGACTTCTAACATGATTAACCGTTACATAACATGATATCAAAAAACAAACGAGTTTTTAACAATTAGATATCAACTAGCAAACCAGTGAAACAAATGTTCACCAAAACCTTATTTAAAAAAAAAATGTATTTAATTAATTGAGAACTTCGGAGATTTTGTGTGGTTTCGTTTGAAATTCGTGATTTCTCGAAAACCGGAAGTGCTACGTTACTCAAATCCGGTTTGTAGTCTTATCAGACTATTCTTAACTTATAACTTAAACATTCTCTTTATCTATCTCTTACGGTTTGGCCGCTGAAACAGCACCACAGACAGTCGGACGGACGGACTTGTCTAATAGATAAGAGATTAATCGCTGTTGCATATAGTGTCACGGTAGACAAGTTACAGCAGCAAAATATTAGAGGTGGTGTGGTGTCATTGTCAACGACACGTACAGTATTTTCTTAAATTGATAAATGAACCAGCCTTATTGTTGCTTTTTGTATACGTTTCTAACTGATGTGTAAAAGCTATTAATTAACTTTACTACCTTTTCAAGTTACTTACACAAAATAAAATTCAACCAAGAAGGTACGAAGCGCAGTATATTTTTCCTATTTTTCCGTAGGCACCTACTCATAAAGAACCCCGAAAAAAGTCACGGACCGGCGGTGTAATCTAAATTTCAAATTCGCTGCCCGACGGACGCCCCGCCCTTAATTACAGAAAGAATTACAAGAACATTTTATGGCTCTTCACTGACTTCTGGCGGTGACTTTGCTTGAAATTCGTCGAATTAAACGTACAAAATAATTGCTGTTTTAGATTCAAGTAAATGAAATAAAGAGTGGTGCAACAATGTGACCGTGAGTTGATTTAGTTTTGCTCTTCTTTATGCAAAACGCAGCGAATTAATAATAAGTGATGGAGTCCAGTCGCGTAAATAACTGATGTGGCAAAAGTGTGCCGCTACAGCCATCCTCACCGATCTGGTCTAATCGAAATCTTACGCCATAGAGCCCTGGAGCCTAAGTCACCTACCAACAAAAACTTAACACTACCAAAAGGTCTGGTAATTTGTATTCTGGTGTGGTATTTATCGACACGCGCACGTTGGTCTTCTCAAATTTCTTTTATAGCGCTGAATCCTGGACGATAAGACAGAGTGAAAGGGCAAGGATCGACGCTTTTGTGATGTGGTGTTGGAGGCGATGTTAAGAATTCCATGGACTGCACGCCGAACCAACGTGTCCATACTTGAGGAACTCGTCATCACCACAAGGTTGTCCACTGTCTGTTAGCAGCGCATACTCAAAAAATTCGGACACATCGCTCGCAGAAACCTTCGCACAGCCTAGAAAAGCTGATGGTAGTTGGCCAGCTGGACGGGAGAAGATCACGCGTTTGGTCACCTACCCGCTGGTCAGACCTAGTAAAGTCGCTTACTGGCCTATCAATAACCAAGGCTATAAAGACTGCCGAGGGCAGGAATACGTGAAGAAGCATAGTGCATCGGGTAGTCAACATTTCAAGTTAGACAGGACCTTCAGCAATGAAGATAGCGACTAAAAAGAAGTGGTTTTTATAATTGTAGATCCTTTAATGATCTATCTTGGTTGAAATCTGAGGTACTAAAATTCTTATGTTTCGTCACAATTGTTTAGACTTCGTAAAATTTGATAGAATCCAAATGTAGGTACATGATATTTAACACTCTTATCGTTTTAATGTCAACCTAAACCTTCTTTTTCATTCATTTCCGCTTTTCACCAACCTTGTAATAATAAAATACGAATATTTCAATGATCACGGGGTCTACTCTGAATACCCGTTAAGGACGGTTTGATTCGAAGCCTACTAAGAAGAGTCAGAATATTTTTCTTTTGAACTAATTAAGCAATTATGTGAGTACAGAGGAAAACTGTAGCTTCATCAAAATATGACGTTCAATGACATTTAAACAATGTTTGAAATACTAATTTAAATTATACAATAAATACCTTATTAATAAAGGAAGAATAAGCTTGGATAAGGTACTGCATGTTTTGTCTCTATTCATTGAATGAGAAATGCCGTTTGTGTGATATGAACAAAACACGGCGTAACTAGTCAAAGCTTACGCTTCGTTTATTAATAAAAAAAGTGGCAAGCCAGAAAGTATCATAATTAAAACATAAACGGTCGCCATAACCTAAAGTCAAACTGATACAAGGCAAGTGCTACCGTTTAGACGTTGGGCAAGATTGAAGAAAACCAATGCAAGTGGCCAAAATAGGCGAGCTTTGTGGGAATGCCCATATGTTGGTGTGCTATCAGCTATTATGGGCGATGTGAAACAAATGTTGGCGAGCGTCGCCAAATGAGGTCTTTATAAGTACGATGGGGCTTCCCATTACTTGGCAAATTACGCAAGCAACACCGAGCGACGACAAGGCAAGACAAATATGCTGTCTATACGTTGGTATTGTTGCCGTTGCCTTCGCTTGGTCAACATGTACAGGCGGCTTAATGTTTTGTGATACTAAGTATTGCTCCTGCGTTGTCAACCCTGTTCTTCCTCGCTAAGCGATGCAGGAACTCTACAAGAATGCGTTATTTGTCTGAAGTCAGCTACAAGGTTGTCCCTATCTCTTTTATGGCCTGCGCAGATGAGGGAGTTTCGTACGCGCAGGAACAATAGTCCCTGAATCGTGAAAAAAAATTCCGTCGAGGACTTGTCAAGGACTTAAAGCACACGGTGTGCCAACATTTATTTCCGAAAATTTACAAAGGCGCATGCCTTAGAAGTAAATATTCTTAGATAACGTTGTATTGTAATTAACATGAAATTTAAGAAAAAGACAAGACGTTTTAAAGGAGAATATTAATTCCTTGTGTGCTTTACTCGATGCTGTTGTAAGCGATTTAATTAGGCAGACAAAAAAGTCCTCGGACAAAAATCCCTCGTCTGCGAAGGCCATCACAATGCATTAACTAACACAGTCTATTTACTGGTCGATTTTATATGCACGCTGTCGCATGACAAATCGCCTCACAGGTTGGCTCTGTGCTTAAGCACCTGCGGCCTAGTCGAATAGCCATTTGCACAGTCGATTTCGGTTACGCGGCTGGCCACCCGGTTAAAATGTACTCCCGTGCACCTTTATTTAAAACTAGCTTTCGCTCCCGTCTTTATCCGCGTTATAGTTACTTTTTTTAAGAAAACAAGAGAGATAGAGAGAACCTTATTTCCCTCTCGAATTGGAGCGCCCGACTGGGAATTAGTCTGCACCTTACAAAAGACCGCAGGAAAGTAACACTATCTTTTGGTGCCGTTGTGTTTCTGTCGGTAAATAAGGTTCCAGGGCTCCACAAAGTAAAGGATCGGGTCAGGATAGACTTAGTTAGTTAATTAGTTTACCAGGGCGGTTGCAGCACTTAGTCGTAATTATTGGACCATTATGCGTATCTCGAAACATTCCCGTTCACTCCAGCCAACCTAAGTTAGTCCAGAAAGAGAGCAGCCTTGGGAGACTGCTGCAGGCTTCCAGAAACGATGCTGGCGACTGGAGAAGTCGTGCCCGTTGGTCGGCCACACTCATACATTCCATGATGACATGCTGTGGCGTTTCTTCTACGTCCATGCATCCTCTGCATAAGGGATATTTGTCACTCCTATTTTGTATAGGTTTTTGTTTAGGGGACAGTGACCAGTCAGGGTTCCTATAATCTTGCGGAATTTGTCTCTATTTAGTCTGGTAGGGTTGCAGGCAAGTCTCTAGTATGCCGCCGGAACTGCGTTCTTTGTTTGCCGGCATCCTTCACCTGTTTTCATCTCTGTTAAGTGTGTTTTCTGAGTTCTTTCACGCAACCACGTTATAATTTGATTACAACGGCCAGTAAGGGTTCCGGACCATACACTTTTGTATCTGCTTCTCTCTTAGCCAGTTCGTCTGCTGCAACCTGTTGGTTTTGAAGCCATCTGTGTAGTTCCTAACTTCCCCTATGCCAGAGTAATCTGCCTTTTCCGCAGTAAGTTGGATGTTGTATGTAGATACGTCTTTGATAGTAGTATCAAAGACGTTTTAACATAATATTCTGTCCATTGGTACCTCCAGGAGTGGGATCTCCTTTATGCACGTTTGTAGAATATTGAAGTGTGTTGTTACAATGTTTAATCATCATAAGCCCAGAGATCCTAGTCTCAAGGCTACTGATTTTGCCTCTTCTTGTATGACCAGGTCTAAGGGTTTTAAGTTTAGGTGGCACTATAGTGCAGCCTATGGGGTTGTTCTCATGCTTCCAGTTGCCGCTACGCTCGCAAAGCGTTTGTAGCCTTTGGAGTTCGGATTTAAATGTGGTCAGTTGGGTTCTGGACCACCAAACCATTG